AAAACATTGTTAAGTCCCCAAGACGACTGTGGTTTTGATTTACAAAAATACATCAAGTTGAATTGAACTGTCTGTCCATTGCCACTCTTCCATCCCCTCGGCTGAGGCTGGTGCGTGGGCCGTGAGCTCCACATCTGTTTCGCGTTGGATTGGATGGAGACCGGAGCTCAACCACAGGATATTGCCTTTACCAGCAGCAAAGGTCAGGTCCAGGGGTGGAGTATATGAGAATGCATCCACGAGGCTTTCCCTCGCCATTTGAGATGCCTTTCAGATGAGTCGTTTGTTGCTCATTACGTGTCCTGGACGCTAGCTTTGGCTTTGAGAGTTGAGTTCCTCAATGGTGAAGTTCACACGGGGCCAAGAGTGTGGCAGGAAATGGGTTAAGTATAAATGTGTTGTGCTGCTTATGCCTCTCTGGGAGTGTCTAGTAACGCAATTTTAGATTGTATTGTAAGAGATTAAGAGATTTGTTGTGGCGGCAGTGTTGGGACACTATTTGGCAAGTTTGCAGGTCTCATAAATTTGATTGCTATGTAATAATATGATACATGACTGAATACATTTTTGGATATAGAGTTCTGTTTGTGAAACCGATTTGGCATTGTAATGCGCCAGTCTCTGCAAATAATCACAATTATCACCTCCTTTATCTATTTAATAAGAAGTTTTTTTGTCTATCAGTATAACTGTTTTACACCATTACTCTTAAACAACTTTTAAATATACAAACATTGTTTTCAAAGAATATTAACTTTCAGTGTAGAGTTATAACATACATATAACTTTGCTCAACTGTGCCATGCGATTGTAAAGAACATAATTTCACCTGAGAAATTACCAACACTCATTAATGTGCAATACTTTTGTTTAAAGCTATGCACCAAAAGTTAATTAGCATGGATAAAATTAGCATGGATGTATTTAAATCTAAAAAGGTCCAGGTCTGTTGTTGATGTGGGATCATTCTTGTAACATGGTTGTTGGCTCAAAAAGGTAGATTTCTTTCATACCTTTGATAAGTGTAAACAACAGAACACCACCTAAGAACCCCCTTTGGCCTAGATTTAAGTTGTTTCCTTCTGCTTGACTGCCTTGGCTCTTTACCTCAGTGACAGGCTCTAGTGATGTTGTTTAAGCCCATAAATCAGGATGATGGCTGAAGCGCCGCTGTCTGCATGGGTGACCTCGCGGACCCCAGTGCTAAATCCTAACACAAGTGATTCACCCTGAGAGAATGTGCCCCGGCCCAGTCCCAACCTGCCCCGGCCCTGGGGTTTCTGAGCTCTGCCATCCATTACACCTTAGCATCTGTCAATAAAAAACAGTCACACACAAATTTAATTTTTAGAACGGGCTTTTTGGTGTAACAAATTTAACTTTTTCTGATTAGAAATCATGTCTACTTTAGCATATTTGTAAGCAACCCCTGTGATGAAAGAGGAACCGTGGACTCTACTCCCGCTTTGACTGCCTCAAAGCTGGTCCTAGCGTACTAGCCTTGAGGTTTATGCCAGAAGTTCTTTCTCTTACAGTGGGTGGAGCTTAAACAACTCCAGGTCTGTTGTTGATTAGGTGACAATGTTGGAAATGTTGATGATTTTGATAATATATTCTCATTTAAGGATTTAATAGCATATTTATCTCAATGGGGCTATCCTTAAGTAAATAAATATATTTGGACATTGATCATCACTCTCCCTATGCACCAATGGCTCATATGTGTTTGCTATTATTGCATTGTCTTTGATTCTCTGATATGTTGTTGATCAATCGACATCTTTAAAAAGTCCTCCAAGACGACTGCTGTTTTGAACTAGGGCTGTACACTAAATTAAAATTCTCCTTTGAGTCAGAAAGTGGAGAGTTAAAATCGGCGTTCCTTAACATTTCAAAAGCTGCATCGCGCTCTGTATTTTGAAGCAAAAGGAAGCGCAGGGGACTCTCTCTGATGTCGGGAACATTTGGCGAGTTAAATTAGAGGTTTGCTCGTGAAGCTGTCGTGGGGAAAGTCTCTCCGGGTACTCTGCGCTGGAAGTATGTGACGAGAAAAACAGCTGTGGGTCAGAGGAGTGAGTGGAGTGAGTTACAGGCGACGGTCTTTGGGCCGGGGCGGACGCGTGTGAAGGTGGAAGGAAGACAGCGTGGAGCCGTTGGCGCGCACCTGTCCACGTGTAAATTATGTTGGATGCTTCCTGCATTCCTCCTACAAGCTGACTCTTCTTTATAGGCATACGTCTCAAAAAGTTATGATGTTTTTAACAGTTCAAATTTGGAAGAGATTGCCATTGATTTTAGCCTTACTGCCAAGAGGCCAATTTAATCAAAACCAGTGTTTCCCATCCGGGATACTTTTAGGGGTGAGCGGTGGTATTACAGGGTGTTTTTTTGAAATCATTTCCAAACATTGATAGTAAGAGGTTAATATGGGCTACTATGACATGTTATACAGCATTTTTTTTTTTTATATTTCTCCCCGGAATGCAACCCTATCCTTTATTCTATTCCAAAAATTGAATCAGAATACACCAATAATGGTCATCAGATGTATTAAATGGTCAGTCTGCAATAATAAGCATTTTTTCTCAGTCAGTCTGCAATAACAAGCTTTTTTTTTCTTATTACTTTTGTTCAGTCCACGCATGTACTCATTTTGCCAAGAAAAAGGACGAGGACTTAGGCTGTAGGACGAGGACTGAGGCTGTGCGGTGCAGGACTTGAGCCCTCTCTTCGCTGGTAAAGGGGTACTCAGGACAAACAATGATTCAGCACCACTTATCTAAACAACTAATTGATTATCAAAATATTCATTAATTAGAGTCCTGATTTCTTCTTTAGAGTGCTAAACCTTTTAAGACAAGACAGTAATTTGTGATGGGGGACATACTATACATAAAACGATCCATTGTTTTGGCTTCCAGAGGTTGTTGCTCTATAACCTGCATGAGTGTTCCTGTCTGAAACATGAGCGGAGAGGTCTGCAGGTGGCATAGGGGCCTTCCAAACGAAAAAAAAAGGATAAGAAATCCTTTGTATGTTTGCCCGTTACCAAGAACCATTACACCACCAACAGCACCCCAGATCACGATGACCGAGAGATAGGAAGGAAGAAAGTCACAAGAGCAAAGCCTGGAAATCTTCAACAAAACAACGTAACCAGGGTCCCTTTTGATGTCTGTTTGCATTCCTCGCAGCGCTGGTGAAAGGGGAGCTGTCTAGCGGTAGTGCCAAAGAGGAACACTTGAAACTGAACGAGGCGCAAAGAAAAACACTGGCCGCCGGTTCATAACAAAAGTCTAGGGTCGGAGGTAAAAGGACAAGATGGATAGATGTTTGGAGAGGAAATAGAGGGCTGATAGTAGCGATGGAGGCTAATGGAGAGGAGGCTGCTTTGCATCGGCCGTGGGAATCTCTTGCTACAGTCGAACACGTGTGACACTAATGGGTCTGGTACTGTAGCTGTAGGGCAAGATAATTCACATTCAAAATTTAAAAGAAAAAGACCCCCATTGACAATTTAAATAAAAATACAATGAACACTACATCTTTTGTCTTGGCTAAAAGCAGCTCATAGTCCAGATTTTAAAGGTTATAATCTGAGTCTATGTTTGGTTGTTTCACCCGAAAAAGTTTAGTTGAGCAAAAATACATGCATGTGAAAACTATTGTGAGAAAGATAGGATGAGTCAGATGGATGGTTTAATTACATAATTATTTTTTGTGAGACAACAATAACTACTGAGTTACTTTTGTCATCTGTCATGGATGGATCTAAAAACAACCCCAGGTCTGTTTTAATGAGGAACATTGGTAAGATGGTTAAAAGCTCAAAATGTTTTGTAATACTGTATGTCTCTTTTAACAAAACAAGTTCAATGTTTCTAATCATTTGTCATAACTTCAATTTAATCATTTCTTTCTTATATGGCTTAACGCTGTTTCACTGTTTGGATGTGTTTTGCCTTCAGTCAAAGTTTTTTCTTGTGGTCCCCTTGAGACGACCATAGATTGGAAATAGCCGTGTACATATACTTGCTGGGGAAGTTTGTGGGTGGAAGCATGGAGAACGTATACTTGGGCACAGTTGGATAAATCATTTGCAGTTCCCAGCCTTTATTCATAAAAGCTGCTCTGCCGCCAACACAGCAGGAGACATAAGATTATTCCATGCCACATTTTTGTCACATTACAGCATGACATCACTCTATGAAACTCCTCTGGCCTGTTCAATAAAACACTCACGACTTCAGTATATTGTAGACAATATTGTAGACTGTATTGTAGACATCTTCACATTCTATGTCTACAATAGAATGTGAAGACTGTGAGTTTATCATATAGTAGAATACATTATTAGTTTGATATTGCAACATGCCAAACCATTTTATTTGTATGTTATATTGATAAGTGTAAAAGCATGTGTTGTACAGGTTGGAAATACATAATTGAAGCTTAATATAACCCTGTTACAATATGGCAGGTTACAAGAAGGTCCTTGGTTGGAATCCTGGTTGGGTAAGGGCCTTTCTGAGTGGAGTTTGCATCTAGGTATGATAGATTGCATCAGGTATGATAGAAGTCAAAAATAGAAAACTAGTGATAAAAGCAAACTTTTTTGAGAGCAAAGAGCTAGTCACAGGGATTCTACTATGTGGTTAAAGGTTTTTAGGTTTTAAAATTAGGTACCCCAGCTTTATGCGTAATTGTCCCATGTCTTCTTAGGTTTCCTCCAGGTACTGAGGCTTCCACTACCACGCGATCAGTCCACTCCTAATATACAGTTTATTTATGATATCGGCAGGCACTGCAAAATACCTCGCCCTATGTAGGAACATGTTATGGACTGAATTGTGTTGTGGTTTGTGAAGAACTCAAACAATGTTTGCGTTTTGCCAACTTACACTCAAACCTACACTTTATCAGCTCATATCTGAACGTGCGTGTGGTTCGGAGCCCGTAATCCGGCTGTGAAGTCAGCCCCGTGGTCACATGGCACCGGCATGAGGTGTGAGGGGAGAGGGGCACAGGGAGGTAGCTCCAAGGGTGGGGGGTCTTCTATCGCTCACACCGGCCAACACAGAGATGAGGAAAGCAGCACACCCTTGTTGTCATTTCGCCTTTGCCCCCTTCCATCTGTCCGCCCGGCTTCTGACACCTATACCAGCCTGTCAGAGGAGGGGTCCCGTATCATCGGGGTCCGGGCTGTCGGGAGACTGGGGGAGGAGGGGATTGCTCGGCTAAATTGGAGCTCTCAGCCGGCAGAGGAAGCAGGGTGAAGTCGGGGGCATAGTTGGAGATATGAACTTGATTCTCCGTCTGGCTTAATGTAGCGGTGGCCTACATATTGAAAAGATGGTATAGTAATGTTAATGTTGTTTTCACATTACATACATGTTATTTTGACCTCATTTTCAACAGAAAGAGTCAAAAATGTATGTTATTGTGAACAACAAAACCTTCTCTATTTTTATTTTGAATTGAGAAAGAGTCCAATGAGTCACTATTTGACTCTTTGAGCTGAGAGATTGGCTGAGTGAGTGTGTTCCTCTCTTTTGAACTTTTCTGTCTGATCTATAGACAGAGGCCAAAAATAGAAAACTAGTGATGGAAGCCAACTGTTTTGAGAGTAAGGATCTACTCACATGGATGTTATTACATGGTTAAATGTTTTGTGGTTTTAAAATTAGGTACCCCAGCTTCAGGCGTAATTGTAATTTAAGTGTTTGTTATTTTTACACTGTCAATAATGGAATGTGTTGAAATGGCTTGTTTTTACATACATTTGATAGTCTATTTCATTCACTGCACAAATGTGGAAACCACTGTGAGAAACATTCCATCATAGATTTGGCGGAACTCATCCGACTAATTCCACACATTTAAGCAACTTCTAAAGTTGCTCCAAGCCTGAACGATCTTCAGTTGTCTAAATTACCTTCATCTTAATTAGAACATCTCATTGAACCTGCCATGCCAACCAATATTTTCTTCAAGTCAAATTATCCTAGGAGATTCCCCCATCCCCTTCCACCCTTCTCTGTCCTGTTTTGGCCCTTGCTTCAGAGGCAAATTGGAACGCAAAGAGCTGGCATGGCGTAAAAAGCACAGAAAAAAGGCCATTAATGCGTTGCCAGATGTTTGCAGACGCCGATGCTAGGAGGAGGATTCAGTGTTGGTTTTAAATAACGAAGGCTTGTTCAACTTCTTCTTCTATTACCCTTGCCAAAATGGAGTAAAAGGAAGCTTGCCAAACCCAGCCTTGATAAAAGCCCATGAAAAAGGACATTCTATGGCTCAGATGATGTCAGAGTTGTCCAAAGAGTGGACTAGATGGCTCACTTGGCTGTACCTCAGAGACTTGTTGGTGTTTGAGGAGGAAAGGGAGACAGCTGCAGTGTAAACCTGTTAGTGGGCCACCTCTAATCGGCTTATATTGGCCGGATGACAGGCGACTGGCACCTACCGAGGGTCACCGAGTCGGCCCCTACTACAACTACCACGCAGCGGACGGGGACATGTTGGATAGCAACGTGAAACCAAAACTGTACTTCACACACTCTGCAAGAAAGATGCCAGATCGGTGAACATTTTGGATTATTTAGTCAGCCGGAAAGAGGGACATATTTGGGCCACTTGAGTATTTGCAAACAAATCCAATTGCAATAGCCATTTTCATAGTCACAATTGGCAAATCGCAATGTCTGAAATAATTTAATTTCTTTGCAAACTAAGTAAAGGACTCGATAAGCAAAACTATTATTACATGTTGGACATTTTTTCCTTCATCTGAGTTATTTTGAAGATTTATCTATGGAATAAGCGTCGTAATTACAGCCACTTTTTCAAGCTCTTCAAACTCACATCATAAACATATCTCTCATCCAGATACAAAAGGTTTATTCCATGCTAATCTAAAAAACCCATCCATTCTTGAGTGTAGATTCAAGGTTGATTTGTCTTACGATTTTATTTGAAAATACCAGCTGTACCAGCGAACCTTTGTGCATGACTCATCTTTTTTATGTGAATCATAACGCAATGGAAAATCGATGTCTTTAAACGCGGTAATGAGTTTCAACACATGACATAAGGCAGAGAAGCGAAACCCAACACAAACACATGTTCTCCTCAAGACCTGACACCACCATAACCACAAGAGAGGGTCCAATTTACAAGACAGCTGGAAACTCCAGGACCATTTACACTTTTATAGAGGATGAGAGGTCACAATTATAGAGTTGTGATTATTGACATTGTGTTTTTTTTTCCACACCAGGACGATGTAGATATATTCTAATTAATGTTGCCTTTTATTAGTTCACTATTTGTATGCTGTTGACTCTTCTTATAATTTATTGTCACAATAGGGAAATGTTCCTCCTGCTTTGGACCCACCCTAAAGGGTCCAGCACCTGATGTTGTTGCTCTTGGTCAGAACACGTGCAGTACATGCAGGGAAAACCAGAGTACCCAGAAGAAACGTTTGAAAAAAAAAAAAAGAAGCCGATTTGAATTAACTGTATAATATTTAAGCCAAACACAGTGAAAGGTGTTGACATTAGAGTGAGGTAAAAACTCGTCAAAATTAGTTAAAGTTCCTTTTTAAATAAGGTCTCAATAATCTAATCAGATTTTTGGCACAGCCCTTTGCGCACTAGTTTCAAATAAAAAAAAATTCTGAAAAAGTGCTGTAATCAAACAAAGCTTCAGACGAATGCACGTAACCTTATTAATCTTTTTTAAACATTTTGGAATATATTTTGTTTGTGAGGTTGGCCCTTAAAATGTCCCTGATTCATCCCAGAATGGTGGATTTGACTGGAAATAAGACTGATACATATATACCAGGAGTTACATTTTATCAATTGGCTAACAGAACATAGACATGGATGGGCCCTATAGGGAGTGGTTGAACCTGAATTGAAGCTACTCTGTTTAACGCTGAGCTCCTCAAACAAAGTGAAAACTCGTCACACTGTGTTTCTCACCATCTCTTGACTTTGGCCTGAAGCACTGTGTTTGACATGGAGCTGCGGACTCCTCTCCCCCTCCCCAGACTTGGGCCTGTTTGCTCTGGGCTGGGGATGAGCTTGTATCGGTCTCACCAAGTCAAACAAGTGGCTCGCTGCCACCCCACGCATCCTTTCAGTGGGCCGCACGGAGGTATTGACTGAGGGCGCCAAAGGCCAAGCGTGTTTACAATTGGAATAGTCGCCGCGCTGTTTGGGATTGGATTTATGCAATCACAAAGATTACAATTCTTACAAATACAAAAAAATTACATTCAAGATCAAGTGATACTGAGACAGACCTATACGCACACCATAAATTAACGATGCTAACCCGCTTGCTCAACAAAGCTTGATTTTGGATTATTTCAGTGATGCAATTTGAGTATCAATATCAATTCAAGTATACAAAAACCTGGCTCCAGCATTCTAAACATGCACTGTCCCTGTTCAAATGAAAACTACCAAACTCACTCAATTTCATTGCTGATGAGTAGACTCAATACTTTAACTCTTAAGATTTGAATCTTTCATAAGTCTGCCGGCTCATAGAACACGCTTTTTGCCTCCGGACCAGGGAAACTGGAGTAAGGGGGTCTTATCAGAATCTTTTTATTGCCATTGTAAGTAATTGGAAGTCACAAACCAGGAATCTGCTTTGGCTCATGGTGCATTCAAGTTGTAAGAGTAAAGAAGTAAAGGCACACATGAAAAAAAAATCTATATACAATTGTTTCTAAATTCTATTCTATAAAGACATTTAGCAGTGCAGTAAAGTGATACTTCTAAACATTAGCATCTGAATAACATAATTAATCATAAAAACCTCTCCTTTTGTTCCTTTCGTAGATTTCTCTTGGAGGCGTCATGGAGACCAAGGCTCCAACAGCCACTGAGAAGAAGGAGTGTAAGCCCTCTGCGCTAGACGGAAGTAGCTTCTCCGAGCTCCCCAAGAAACCGTCCCCCACCACGATTAACAGAGGTCGGCTGCTTTCTCTTTAACTTTTAACAATTTATTTTACTGTATTTATTTATTTTACTGTAATATATATATATATATATATATACAATAAAGTGCACATTTACATTTACATTCACATTTACATATATATGAAGACATTCTGGTGAGAACCCTGCCACCTAACCAAAAAATAACATTTCTATTTTTATTTTAGTCAACTAAAATGGAATGTAATTTTAGTCGACTAAAACTTAACTAAAATTGAATGTCTTATAAAGACTGTTCTGCAGCTGATGAACCCAAAAACAAATCTTGTTGTATTTTAGTTTTAGTGCCATCTGTGCCAACTTACTGAGCCTAACTTTGCCTATAAATCTATAAAGTAAAGTCATCTTAATAGCTCCTTTCAAAGACAGCAATCCAAGAACAAAAACTTGGTTCATTCCTATCAAAAGTTCCACTATCTCTCTTTAGTTTTCTGAAGGGATTATTTTCCAAACCAAACGCTGTTGAGTGTGTGGACAGGCTGCACACACGCACTGATCTGGGTGGCACATAAAAAGAGATTGGGGGGCTTGTAGATGTCAGAGAATGGCTGATGAAAAAATGCTGTAATGAGGCCGAAGGACCTTGTTCTCACCTCCCAAGTGTAAATTTCATGAATTACTAAAAAAGCCAGTGGACGACACGGCGTATCAGAGGAGGCGCGCAGAGGCTTGGGAGGGAGGGCTGCACTTTTGAAATGCTAACAAGACGTCATCTGACATTGTGGCTTTAGCGGTGTGCGTGCTTAATGATGAGCTTGGTGGCCTGCCACAAAAGGAGCTGCGAGTATTAATTGTTTAGGGATGCGAACGAGAAAGTAGGACGTTTGTGTTTGGCCTGACTGGCAGTACTACAAAGAGCTCACAAGTTCCTCCAAAGCAGAAAAAAAGAAAATATTGCACTTGCCACCACCTGAATAATTAATCCATTTACACACTTCACTACTGACCATTGTATATCCTGTTGGCTGGGGGGCTGTAACGGTAACCTTGCAGAGAGGGAGCGCAGTGGGTGCTGAGAGTGATTCATAAAGGCCTTGTAATTAAAAGATGAGAGCTCATGTTTTTATAAGTGAATGTGTGATGAAAACTCCTTCTAACGAGGTTATGAATTACTAACGGAGGCTGCTTGGACACTGCAGCCCCTCCGGATCGCAGCCTGGCATCGTGCGCAGGGTCCACTGCAGGAGCGCGCTACACTGGTGTTAGAGATTAATGAAGGGCTTGGTGGCCTGCCATTGAAGAACCACTCTTCCACCCAAGGGAGTCTAAAGTAGGACATAAGCAGTGCGTTAACTTTAAGATCAGGCTTTGTTTTTCTCTTAGATTATTCCTTCTTTGACTTGGTCACATTAGTATGCATGCAGAAATGTGGGGCGTCCCTGAATAAATCTTGATGATATTTGTCTTGGAATACTCCAAGTCTCGCAAAGGCCACTTCAAAACTTTGCGAATAGTATTAACAAAAGACAGATGTGTAGAAAGTAGAAATATCCCACATTGAGTACTGTAAATCCAAAATTGTGATAATGACTTTAAAGGGACTGAACGGAACATACACTCCGTGGTCTAATCTAAGAACTACAATTGCACATTTGTTACCAGAAACTAATTCTTTTGTATCTGCTTTCATTTAAACAAATGTATGGGTTTTCGTTTGTGATATTTGTTATTGGCATTACATAGATGGTTCACAGTTAATATACCTAAGCATTCACAAAAAGTACTTTGATCTTAGAGGTCTATAAGAGTATATATATATAGTATAGATAAATGGGGGAAAAAGCTCATATAAAAGTAAAAGTAATAATAATATTAATCATATTAATGCATTGGTTTTATACCGCGTCCTTAAGGACACTCAAAAACGCTTCACAAGTCATTATCTTTTCACTCCATACACAGTGGTGATAAACTACTTCGGCCCCTCTGACCACCACCAGCCATTCACGCACGCAGACACCACGCACACCCACTATAGGATGAAATCTAGGCAATGTGGGTGAAGGACACTTTACAACCGCAGCCGCCCCACTGTAGCAACTGGTGTTCCCTGAGGTTTCCCATCACAGTACTAACCAGGCCTTTCCCTGCACAGCTTCAGGCCCTAACCTGCACAGCTTTAGAGGTCTGACAGGATCTGGCTTTTGCTTGCAACTATGACCACAAAAAAGTAACATTTCAGAAAACAAAGCATCCAACTTCCAACTGTATTTTAAGTTCTTGTAATAGGCAATGCATCAGTAACGCATATGAAACTACATTCTGAAAATCAATAAATATTTGCTCAAGCCACTGTCGAAAGAAGTTGGAAGCCTCATAAAAAGCCCTCAAAATGAGTGCTCAGTTGTTTGTGGATGCTTGTAAAAAGACAATAGCGTAACTTAAGCCGAAACATCCTGAGAACATCTTGTCCAACTTAATCCGACGTGTCAGCTGGCTCTACGGACTCCATAACTTTTCCCCTCTCTTCCCAGTCTCCTTCCGAAAACACATGCCTTCTTGAACTCTTATCCACGGTAAGCGGATAGCTGGATATATAGCTCCATGCGGGTGCAAATGGTATGCGATAGTATTCGTGTCTTGTTAATGGTTTTAAATGGGCGGTGGCGTTCCGTCTGACAGCTTGCATCTGTCTCAAGCCAAGGCAAGGCAACAAAAAAAAACCATCCACCGTGTTTGCCCTTTTGCAACCAGACTCCAGACTGAGGATTTACGAGTCTGCGTTGGGCATGTGCTTTACCATGTTGGCTAACATGTGTCAAGATTAGCTACCCACCCCCACCCCAAACCTGGATAGTAAAACATCTTGCTATTTCAAACGCCTGATAAATGCATTTCCCCTATACGCACCAACATTGCTATGTAAATTTGCCGGTCCAAAAGCTACAGTTGCGTTTCTCGACTTGCCATTGTGCGTGTTTTTTCCCTCCCTTATTTTATTCAAAGAAGAAAGTTTACAATGTTTTTCCACCATCGCTCATGTGGCGTTTTGGCCATACTAGGCCAGTGGAGCAGACTGACTTGATCATTTCACTATAAGGAGGCCATCTTTCTTTGGCGTTCTGTCTGAGATTTGTGAACTTCCATGACAGAGACTGATGGAGTGCAGACAAAACATATTGTCCGCAGATATTCGCACATCGCTTTGATTTATCTAAGAGGAGGCACCGTAAGGAATCCCCCTCACCTTTGTCAACACTTGCCGTGCTTGCTTTGCGCTTAAGGAAAAGAACGGGGATTAGGTGCTAAATCAACTCGCCTCTGTTTGGAAAGAAAGAGTTTTCACTTTGTAGATCAAGGTTTCTCCAACTCTCCGAGAAATGTTCAAGTTGTTGTGGTCTAATTATGTATCATCTATGAGCTGTAAATCCATGATTGTAATGAAAATATGTTAATATTTAAATGAATCCACAAACTAAATTATAGGAACAGGACCATAGATAAGACAATAAGGCAAAGCAAATATACACGCAGGTGGTGGAATATCTCTATAAACCAATATGTATCTCCACACACTCACAAAACTACTTTTTTATACACAGAAGTACTTGGTGAGATACAGAGGCAAGGCACGTTTATTTGTATAGCACAGTTCATACACAAGGCAACTCAAATTGGTTAACAAAACCAGATAGAAGCAATCATACTATGCATTAACATCATATATAATCGCGGTGGTCTGACCTACCGAAGACAAATGCATGGATAAGGATCTTCAAGTTTATTTTAGACACTATATTATCGATTCTGGCAGTGTTTTTTAGAGGTTAAAAATCTGATGATAATGCTGCCGATGTTATAAGTACTGTGTTAATCTTTATTATGTATAGATTACATGTGTTTAGTTGAAATGATAATTTCTAAGTAAAATGTTTCAATTGTCTTTTGTGTAAGGCCTGGAAGAAGCATTTATTTCAAAGAGAGCATTTGTGTTTTGAAATGTTTTGTATGCCTGAAGTTGGCCTGTATATTTGTATTTGTGCTAATGGTGTATTATATATGTGGGCTGGGCATCTTCGTATGCAAGACACTATGATAAAAATATATCTATCTATAGCGCATTTCACTGACCACATGTCACAAAAAGCGCTTTACAATTTTTTTTGTACCAGTCATTTTCATTATTTTCATACATGGTGATGACAGGAGCGAGACTCAGAACATCTCAGAACACCAATCTTTCAGATTCAGATTCAGATTCAGTTTATTTGCCATTTGCAGTAAAAACACCACATAGGAATACATTAGCAAAAGTCTCCAGTGTGCACAGACAAATACAGACATAAAACAACATTAAAAGACAAAAATAAAACAAATAAAACAGTAAACAAATGTCACTGTGAAATCGATCGACTAAAACAGTTTCAAAACAAGTGCAAATCATTAAAGTGCTCTGTTCACACTGATAACAGCTTGTGGATAAAAACTGTTAGCGTAACGAGATGTCCTGCATCTCAGAGAGCGATATCTTCTGCCAGAGGGAAGAAGCTGGAACATGGCTTTCCCAGGGCGGCCAGAATCTTCTGACCATCATCATCCATTCACACTCATTACAATCATTCCTATTGTTACATCTGACCCGGTTTAAGAATAACTGCAATCTTTCTCCGTTACTTTACAATACAATACAATACAATACAATTTATTCTTGTATAGCCCTAGGTCACAACAGAAGTCATCTCAGAGGACTTAACAAAACCATTGAAATCACCAACACAGGTCAGAGAATCAACAGTTAAAACACATGAAGAATACAGTATAAAGCACACACAGAAGAAAATGTCCATACATGTTGTAGAATGCTAAAGTGTCCTGATCATCACCAATCCTTTCTGTTGGACACTAACTGTCCAACAAGACCCTCCTGCATCGACAAGGAAAAACTCTTAAAAAACCCAGTGGGAAAAAGTGAGAAACCTTGGAGGAGAACTAGGGAAACCCACAGGGAGGGAGACCCATATGAGAAAGGGATCCGCTCCTCCGGACGGACAGAC